AAAAGGATCTAAAAAATGTTTTTTTCAAACCATTCAAAAAAAAAAAAAAAAAACCTGTTCTGTTCTGAGAGGTTGTATGAATGTATGATGGATATGATTTAATATTTTATTCAGTCAAATTAAGTGTTTGTTGACTACCACAGCTTATATGGTGCGACACTACACAGCATGAGTGGTAAAGCCTTGTGTGTATACCTGAATTTTAAGACACGTAATGACCACAGCTTGAAAAAATCTGTAGCCTATAATAATGATAATAATAATAACAATTCTGTACTGATGCTTCTGCGATTAATCATTTTGAGTGGAAAAATGTTTGGTTTAGAGATACTGAATACATACATGTTCACACAGATATGTTGCAGTCGAGTTGAAGGACAAAACACAATAAAAATCACACCAGGACATCTGTGTAACTAAGAAAGCCAGTAACTTTACTGAATTCTCTGCAAAATACAAATACCTTTTTTAGTCCCAGCAGGAGAAACAATTTTTATTCCATACATTAATTTTTACTACATACAGCTGAATCAAGTCCCTTGAGATACAGAGATGTGGTTTAATTTAATTACATCTTGTCTTCAAGTGGCGACAAAGTCCAGCTTGTGCCGCTGAAAGCCTCTTTCTCCTGGTTAGAAAAAAAGAAATTCTTTCAACCTTACCCATTGTAGGTTTATACAAGCTACATTTGTTACTACAGAATTTTTCAGCTTTTTTTTTTCATTTTTATTTTGTTATTTATATGCTTAATGGAAACAACACTCAAGAGAGAGAGAAATGAAAAGATCAACCAAAAAAAAGGTCAATCTAAAAACAAGAAAAAAGAAAAAGTAAGAAAGAAAAATAACCGGAGAGTCATACATGGACAGCTGAAATCTATATAACAAACAATGGCATTTTTCACAATACTGTACACTTTTTAGTTATAGGAGAATGTTCCCAATTCTCAACAAGACTAACTCATTGAAAGGTAATCTGAGGCACTGGGAAGGTGAGTCAGAGGTACCAGCCACTAGCATGAACAACTTGTGATGAAACACAATGGTCTCAAACGGCAAACATAACACCATTTTTTTGTCTTTGGTAGAAAAAAACTGACTAACATATGTCCTGTCAGAATCACAGAATGCACAATGATAGATATGTATATCAACTGAACAAAACTAGTCACAATCCACTAAATGATGACACAAGCTTACACAAGCAGTCATGAGGTATCTATGACTGTACTGTCTTATATTATAAAATCTTCAGTGCAATGTCGATTAATGTGACACTGGGAACTTTAAAAGGTTGTGAATATTCCAGACCAAAGTGGATATCTTGTGCTTATTAAAAAAGGGGGCATATTTATGAGTGTGACTTAAATTTGAAAGCATCATTCTGAATGTATTTGCCCCTGAAAGACTCAGTCCGGAGGAGGAAAAAAATATTTTTTTTAATCATATATATTCATATATTAGAAAGCTATACACAAGCATGTTAATTTCACAGATTTTTAAAAAAAGATTCTTAATATTATTATTCAATATACTTGGAAATACACGTTTAAAAACAAAACTTCTACAAAGAGAGAGAAAGAGAGAGAGAGAGAGAGAAAAAAAAAACATTGAGCAAAGCAAGGGTTCACTGTCTCAGATTTCATGGCTTATGGTTGAAAAGCCCAAGGTTTCTTGTCCTTTTACTATCATTTCTCATATAAGCAAAGCTATCAAAACACATTCTGGCTCTTATAAACTACAAAAAGCCACAAAAATGCTTTGCATTGTATTCCTTTTTGATATGAAAATATAAGCAAGTGTATCATACATTTTTTTTCTCTTTTTCTTCTTTTAATACTGAACAACAACTGCAAGTCCTAGATTAAAATGTCATCAGACTGAAGTAATATGGCTCTTGATTTAAAGTCCTTCATCTCTGCGATGCCACTCCATCCTTCAGTTGTTTTTTTCCTGAAATACCCACTCCCCCATAACTTAACCAAGGAACCTGCACATATATCTGTACAATCCTTCGAAATTCTTGCATAACAGTTAGGTTTGTGTTAAAATCAGCAACCTTGACCCTTCCCCCGTGTCCCAGCCTTTCCTCTATGTACAATACGTTGAACCTGCAACATGACATTGTCACCCATAACATACATTTAGCGAAGGGGCCGTCTGAAGAGAGTGGCACTAAAAAAAGGAATCTGTACATATTGTACTGGTACGACAACTCAAGTGCTAAGCTGTCACCTCTGCGATACGCTCTCTGCTGTGTTCCTCTTGTGGCTGAACATCACTGAGGCATGTACTTTAAAGAAGATCCAAGAGTACCTGACACTTTTTGTTGGTTTGTTACTCTGCATACATGTACACCTACACAACGTGTAAATATAGATGCATATATGGTAATTCTTTACATTGTATTCCACACACTGCACAAGTTATGCATAGTAACCCCGCCCACTAAACCCTCCCCAACCCTGTTGTATCAGTCCTCCTTTCCTCCTCCCTCCCTGAAAACCCGTCAATCACAACAATATGTATATCAGACACACTCTGATAAAATAATAATAATAATAAAAATTACAGGTAATTTTGAGAGCACTTCCTCCCCTCTCTACAGCAAATCAGAGAATAAGGGAGAGCAATGATTGTGACTAGTCATAAACGGCAGAAAGCGCATGAACCGCTTCGCATGGGGAGGTCAAGATCGAGGTTGGGGCTGTCCAAGGCGGGGCATGGTTTATCATGTGGCCCACCCCTCCGAGAGGCGGACACGCTTGACGGATGGGCTGTCTTGCTCATCCAGGCCGGGCCGGCCCAATCCTAACGGCGAATGGAAGTCGGGACGGTGGTCGTCGCGGTCGCTGCCTTCATGCGAGCTGCCGCAGCTGCTGAGGCTGTCGGCTGGGGAGCGGCCCGAGCCCTGCTGCTGCTGGTGGGACGGTAGCGGGCAGTAGCCGGCAGGCGTGGTGCTGCTGGATCGATCTCTAGGAGGAGAAACAGGTTCGGACTTGATGTGCAGGCTTTGAGTAGAGGGCAGGGAGAGATTTGAACCCTGACATAAGTGAGTGCTAGAGCAATTTCTGTAGGAAGGAAAGGAAATGAAGGGGTTACGGATTGGAGCGAGTGCTGGTGCACTCCTGTAAACAGGTGCCAAAGATACAATCAAATCAGTTGCATTTGTTTAACAATACTTAAATGTGGTTATTGTAGGATTTTGAAAGTTTATAATGAATTCAAAGTTTTCTATACAGTGACATAGAACAGTAAGGCTGAGAGAAAGTCACACATATTAAGTGCATAAGAATTAAAATAGGCAATTTGAAGTGTGTATAGGTAATGTGTGTTGTGTGTTTGATTTGTGTATTAAGTGTGTGTGTGTGTGTGTGTGTGTGTGTTTGGGCTCACCCCAGCTGACTGAGAGCAGAGTGCTGCATGTTCTGGATCTGATGTTGCTGCCATCCACTCATTGAGCCCAGATGCAGAGTGTTGGCACTGTTAAAGCCAGATATAGAGGACAGGTCCGCACTGCTCAGAGAATACTCTAAAAGAAAACACATGACCGGGGTTAACATTTGCATCCTAAACTATGATGCTGCTTATTTGGATAACAATGTCTCCGCCTGCTGGAGAGACAGAGCTATTACATGCAGAATAGACAAATCAATGAGATTCTGCATTCATTTAATCTGGGTTTAATGAAGTAGGCTAATATCAAATAAATTAATAAATAAATGAAAAATGAAGAAGTTCTAATTCTAATAAGCTATACACAATCATGTTAATTTAAAAGATTAAAAAAAAGAATTTTAATATTTTTTAAATATTTTTTAAATATTTAGTAATATATTTAATATTGCAATATTGTTATACTTAGAAATACACATTTCAAAGAGAGAGAGAGAGAGAGAGAATGATTAAGCGAAGTAAGGTTCACTGCCTCAAATTTCATAGCTTAGGCTTGAAAAGCCCAAGATTTCTGTTTCTTTTACTATCATTTCTCTTTTACATGCATAATAGACAATAAATCAATTCTGCATAGAGATTCTGCATTCATTTAGTCTGGGTTTAATAAAGTAATATATACATTAAAAAATACATTTATTATTTTGTACTGTTCTCTGAGGTCCACTTATAATGTGATCAAGATTTTTACATCAAAAAACATCATAATTTAGAAGTAATAGGCTATTTTCTGTCCTGTTTTGACCCCTCATCAGAACACTCTGTTTGAATAGGTGTGGTGGATTGTAGACTCAGAAGTAAACGCCCACTGCTATGATTGGCTAACAGTTGTGTATGTTTGACAGCCTACATCCTTCAGAGATAGACGCTGCTGTGATTTAGGTTAAAAACGCATAAATATGTCATAAAGTGGCACATTCCATAACCTGTCGTTTTGGCAGATTGGCTTCAACATAAGCTGTTTTTAGACTGATTAAAAAGTTTTGAATTCTGAAACTTACAGGATGTTTTTATAGTACAATGACCTCTTATATGTCAAAAGATAATGGGAATTTTGATTTCTCCGTTCATGACCCCTTTAAATTGCATTCATTCTTTATGCTAATTATGCGAATTTAATAATAGATCATTAGTAACAGATCACTGAACAGTATTATAGATTGTAATTATAGCAGTAATTATATTATGTTATATAATATTAATTTATTATTTGTATAATAATTTAAAAAAAAACTTTTTAATAAACATTAAAGTGACTAAATTTAATTATATAACTATAAAAAGTAAAATGTATTCCTCTATAGGAAACAGCATTTGAAATATTCTACTTAAGATGTGAAATGTGTATATAGTACAACGTATATTCATAATCAGTGTCTGTGAATATAGTATTTTGAGAGGTCAAGTTCTACATACCAGTACCATATGAGGTGGAAATGGCTGATGGGTAGCCGCCCATTCCCTGTCCTGGTAGAGTGGGCGTCGCTACAGAAACCACGGGGGTAGCCAGTGACTGCGCAGACTGAGAGTTGTTTATTCTCTGATTCTATAAGAAGAGGAAGAGAGCAGAGGAACACATACAGATGACTTGTCACGTCAACATACCTGTATCTTCATCAAACAACTGAGTGAGCACCACCACCCCACCAAAATAATGAGCGAAGAAATAATCACTTGACATGAAGCACCACTGAACCCTCTCAACCTATGATTTACAATCCCTCACAGGGCACTTGGTCGCTATAGAAACTCAAGGTCTCCAAGGCAACAGAACCAGCAACAGAGGGGTTGGAGGTGTTTTTTCCTCTTTTGTCGTGCTGGCATGATGACTGAACAATGTGACAGAGATTAAGAAAAGCAGTGAAAAGCAGAGGTGGAGATAGAGAGGTCAATGAGACCAGAAAACGAGACTCATGTTGCCACTAGATGTCACTCTGGAGCTTGATTGTGAACATTTTCCTTATTCACTAATACGACTTAGGAAATTGCATTTAAGCATGTTTACAGGTCAACATGGGCATTATTGGCATAAGAACAATAAGCTGAACAACTAGTAGTTTTTTATGCGTATGAGGATGAAAAATGGCCTTCGGGTCTATTAGCCTGTGTAACAGGTTTGAGTGACAGTGTCACTTACCAATAGAAGGTCAATATCCTCAGACTGATGGCAGTAAAGGGAGGGTGATAAATCCAGAATTAGTGTCATTGGCTGTGAGTGAAGCTGATGGCCGCCTATGACACTACGTGGACCTACAGGTGAGCGCTTTACTAAACAAGATCAAAGCTGAGGAGACTAATTATGATGGATTCTAACCTGTGCTTTTCAGCTTATGAAACTACTGGAGAGGAAATGAGAAGAAAGGAGAGGAGAACCACAGAGGATTATGAAGGAACTGAGGTGCATGGTTTTATGGATGTGGTACCATCAGGGCTCTTGGTAAAATTCAATACAACACACTGTGATGAACTTACAATAGAGGGCATGTTGTTCTTGGCCCCGGGTGGGATGAGGACCCGTAGGTCAGGTTTACGGCTGTTCATCCCCAGGTTCACCGGTGGAGGCGACTTGGCCTGCATGCTCTTGTTCATGCCTCCGGAGGACACCAGAAGTCCTGGAGAGTTACGGTGGTTTCCATAGCCATTTCCTAAAGCGAGACAGAAAGGGAGGGAAAAAGGCATTAGACACAACAGAGCCAAATTAAGTACATCAAACTTTCACCATGCCACACAATTTAAGCAAGCTTCATTTCACTCTCTCGCCTGCACCAGAATGCACCATTTCCACAGTCATCTACTGTGAAGCCTCCATTCAACCCTGTCTGCAGCTCTCCACACGGTTCCAGTGAGCCTTCACCACATGTAGCCATTAAACACCGTTTTATCTGTTCTGGAGTATTGCAACCATCTTTCACCAAGAATGTGCTCTTTCAATTTGATGTTTCCACACCATTTCACACAACTTTCACCTCCACCATCACTCATTCATTTGTACCAAGCACTTGGTAAACACACCCTCTCATTCACCCTCCATCAAACTAAACCAGACTCAGCTACCCCAAATCACCCCATCACACTCAGATGATTTTCATTCATGAATTATTATATGTCATTATGATTCAAAATATGTTTTTTGTGGTCCTCTGAGTAGTCCAAGATCCAAGTTCTCCGTTCAACTGATTATCAAGGATAAGCTACACAATTTTTCAACTGATTATTGAGATATAGGACAAAACCATTTTTTAAATATATATTTTAAAAACAGCAACATTTTCACTTTGAAATTAATCTGTGTTGAAATACATTATTTCATTCAAACTATTACATTATCACTCATTCATTACCTCTTAAATCCCTAAAAACTCAATACTTTATATACACTCTAAAAAATCCTGGGTTATTTATTTGGGTTATTTTTTCAGTGTTTGGGTAGTTTTTGTGTTAGCCAGCTCCTGGGTCAGACATCACAACCCAATGTTTGGGTAGTTTTTGTATTACTCAGATCCTGGGTCAGACGTAACCTAGAGTGTAGATTAAAATATAATATTAATAATATTAATTGGATTAATGTTATACTTAGAAATGTAAAATTATATATAATATATTTTATATATTTTACAATAAAAAAATCAGCTAATATATATTAGTTGATTTTTTTATTTTTTTTTATTGTCATATATAGTACAGGGCTTAAAAAACAGTTTGAACAGCCACACTTGTTTGCAGTGGAGATGAGGGAAAAACACTGCATTTGATTCCCAAAAGCATTTGAACTAAACTAAACTAAAATAAAATAAACTAAAATAAACTAAACTAAACTAAAATAAAATAAAATAAAATAAAATAAAATAATAAATTCTGCTATGACATGTGAGAAGGATAAAGTTCATTGTAATAAAATAAAAATAGTTCATAAGGGTTTACAGTTGTGTCCCCTTATACTTTTGTCAACAACAGCTGATATTTAAAAAAACATTTAGTGAAAAAAAAACACTGGTAAGATTAATGGTTTAATTCATTAATTGTCAATAATTGTGATAATATTTTCTATATAACGTATTAAAAAAGTAATTTGGTGAAAAATATAACTTGGTGAAAACTTAGTGAGTAATATAAAGTCTAGTCTCTTTCAAGAGTGCAAAGGTCATATGTGCAGCTAAACGGAAATAAGATGAGGTGTTTGGTCTTAAAGGGATAGTTCACCCAAAAATGAAAATTTGATGTTTATCTGCTTACCCCCAGGGCATCCAAGATGTAGGTGACTTTGTTTCTTCAGTAGAACACAAATGATGATTTTTAACTCCAACTGTTGCAGTCTATCAGTCGTATAATGCATGGCAATGGTAACAAAATCTATGAGAGTAAAAAAAAACATGCACAGACAAATCAAAATTAAACCCTGCGGCTCGTGACGACACACTGATGTCCTAAGACACGAAACGATCGGTTTGTGCGAGAAACCGAACAGTATTTATATCATTTTTTACCTATAATACAACACTATGTCCAACTTCCTTGAGCGCGC